AGAGATTCATTGCCTTCACTCTAAAACAAGGACATTCCAGCACAGATTGGATAAGAGCCAAGTCAAGGAACAGGGCAGAGAGTCAGAATTAGCACTCTTACACCTATCACCATAGAAGCAGTTCTTGTCTACAGGATCATCAAGTGCAAATAATAATACTCATATGCAGCATGTATATTCTTAGTAGGGAATTTGGGAGTATTTTGGGTGCTGTGGCATGGTGATGTCTCCTTTCTCTTGACCCTTCACTGGAAGCCTAAGGGCAGGAGAAGGACCAATACATATCCAGTGTTGCATAGGAAAATCACAAATGATTGTGCACCTAACTAAATGAATCCCCAGGGTCTGAAAGAAAAATAGCTCTACATCCTGCCATAAGGATCACCATGAGTATAGTCACATGGTCCACATTCAGGCATATGCACAAGCAGTATACTACCAGCTCAAGTGCAGAGGTGCAGCAGGTGAACTGTGAAAAGCCACTCGACCCCCATATTCTTCTACCAACACTCCACCATCATCCAAACCATCAGAGTCACATGGTCTGATGGTTTTCAGATGCTGTGGAAGTCATAGCACTAAGGATGCAGGTGCTATGGAGGTCATATCACTAATCAGCTGCCCCACGCACTGCCATAACAAGTCAATAGCAGCTGATGGAGATGCCCTGTTAGCATTTCTGTAATGGGGAAGACTAGAAGAGGTATATTGTTGATACATTTAGAAATTGAAAGCTGTGTGGTACTACCCACTTATACTCTACAGGAAATGTTTTGCTCTTAAGTCTAGCATGCCATGGCAGTCAGGTATGAGTCAAAAATGATTTGAGGGCATATAATCAAACATAGTCACAGATAATATTTGCAAAAAGTGTCTAGATTCTGGTGACTGTCCTGAAGCTTCTATTTAACTTTTGCCTCACCCCAAATTTGGTTTTATTCAACTTTTGTGATATTACTCCATTTCCCAGAAGGAAGGAATAAGTAGCCTTATTTCCAGTTCTGTACATCAACATAACAGGGCAAGAAGGTGGCAGTATAACATTTATTTCTTTTCATTTCTCCTTTTTAATTTGTTAGAAAAGCAACACAGAATGTAGGACCTTCCTCCCTCTCCAATACTGGGGTTGGAGAAGAATGCCAGATGAGGCATCACTCTGGAAGTTGGGTGGTAGCAAAATATCTCCTGATAATTATTGTGATTGCACAACATGGCAACCAATTGTTAATGCAGTTTTTCTTAATTACACCGATTGTTAGTGTTTCTATAAGCACGCTAGTCTTTAAATCAGTGTTTCTCAAAGTTAGCAATTTTATGATGTGTAGACTTCAGCTCCCAGAAATCCCCAGCTACTGTTCTGGGAGTTGGAGTAAACACATGTTAAAGTTGCTGAGGTTGAGAAACACTGCTCTAAATTAACTACACTCACAACACACCAGGCTAAATTGTACTTTCTTGTCATAGTTGCTGATTCATATCAACTTACTATTGTCCATCAAAAGAAAGGAACATTTCCTTTAGGAAAAAGAAAAGTAATTGAGATTGCAATTTCTAGAATTCTCAACCAGCAACCCTAAAGCATTTGGAGAAAATTACTTATTTGAAGACAAAGGAAGGTTAACTACAGCATGCTGTTTCACTAAAAATAGCCAGGTATTGGCCCCATAAGTCACATTGAGCAACAATAAGGTTTATCTTATTTAATTTATCATTTGTAAATCATAATTAATACTTTAAAATGTCATGTAAACTCATCCAATTGTGATTCATCCCAATCCTCCCCTCTTCTTATATTATCTAACAAAAATTTTGCGGCATAACATTTCATAGGCCCAAATCCCTTCATTACACATTTTAAAATTGTAAATACAGTGAGATGGAATAGGTTACATCTTGATATATTAATCAGATCATATTACTCAGTTTTGCAACAACTTGAATGGCATGTCCTGTACCTTTCCTGAAACCTCTGGAAGTAATAATGTCTCTCACAACATTACATATAAGTATTGAACCATTCCTGAAACTTTAGATTTGCTTCTCAATATAAACAAGAAATATTTATCCAGTACAGGTAGTATTTTACATGAACCTTCTGTCAGAGTTTCAGATGGCAAGTTATAAACTTTCCAGAGTGGAAAATTGGAGAGTTGCCCCAGGTTAGCATAGTAGAGCGGGCAAAGTGTCTTGAAGTGTCTGTGCTAAAATTAGTAGGCTGAATTAATTCAGGTTTTATCTCTTCATTTTATTTACACTCTTGGAGATATTCTGTCTGCTAGGTAACGTAACCAGTAGAAACTGCTAACACAATCAGGTATCTCACTTTCCACTTAAACTGAAGTTTAATTCACACACTGTCTGTTGCAATGTTCCTAGGTAGCAATAATAAATCTGCACTAATTTTATCTGGGTTTTGGCTCAGTGTTTCAACCACCTGCCATATAATCCTTCTTCATTCTGAGGAGAAATTACTTTGGGGGGAATTTTTAATCTTGATGATATGGCAGGGATCAATTCAGTCAGAAAGAAATATATCAGGTTGTTATCCAGAAGGGCTGGAGTAAGAAGCTAAAGAAACAAGGACAGGCTGTGAGGGATCGCTTGCCACTCAGAAAATGATGGTTTGTTTCTACTTTCATGAGAAGTGAGAATCCATAATATTCTCTATAATTGAGCATTACTTTATGATGCAACTTTGTAAGGATGTTTCACACTAATCTGTCAAACCTAAATATCCCATGTAAGCTTTGCATAGTTTTACTATCTAAGACAAGGGTCTTTAAACTTGGCAAGCTTAAGACTTGTGGACTTCAACTCCCAGAATTCCTGAGTTAACATGACAGGAGGAAGAATTATGGGAATTGAAGTCCTCAAGTCTTTAACTTGCCAAGCTTGAAGACCCCCAATCTAAGATCACTCAGCATGGATTTTTGTACATCATGGAAATTTCAGTAAAATTAGGAAATTTACACTAAAAACATTCCCTATCCAAAGTGCAATTCTCCTCAATTAATTTGGTCAAGAAAGAATAGAAAAATGAAGGGTGTTATTGCAGCTGCAGCCATTGTTGTTTTGATAAAAGACAGCCATGAAATCCTCAGCCTTCATTAATCTAATTCAGTTTCCCCAACTTTATCCTATATTGACAACCACATTTCTGCCACTTTTGTAAAGTACTAGAATAGAAAAAACATTTCTGATATTGGCAAGTAGCTCTCTGGTCCTCCTGACAACACTGTGTAAACAAAACTTTGAGCCTAAATACAAGACTACAACAACAGCGTGCTAAATAGATACATAAGGTCATTTTGAATGATAAATCATTTCTCCAAAATCTCTGAAAAAAGCCCCAAATCCTATCATTGTCTAACCCAGGATTTGCACAACTCGTTAAATATTTACAGTCAAGAGGAATTGAGAGCAAAGTTCATGCACATTTATAAATACATCAGGATGTCAACAGTTTTATCTGATGAGACCAGGGGTGGGATTCAAATTTTTTAACAACCGGTTCTGTGGGCGTGGCTTAGTTGGTGGGTGTGGCTTGTGGTCCTGTTATTGGCTGGGCATGGCCAACTCAATATCACTCACATTGAGGCACGCTACTCCTCGCCTGGCCTCTCATGTCTGTGGGGATGCTGCAACAGTTGTAAGTATGAAAAATGGTCATAAGTCACTTTTTTCAGTGCCACTGTAACTTTGAATAGTCACTCCACACAAGCAAAGTACCAGCAAGGGAGGAGAAAAAAACTCCAGAGAAGTTCCTGAGA